ACTTTGTTTCCAGAAACATGTCAGTACACTGTGGAATAACATCAAATATCCTCTTACAGAATGCAGAACCAATAAAATAGTTCTCCCCACCGTATTTATACATTAGAAGAAATGTTTTAAAACTGAACTTTAAAACTGAAACACCTCCACAATTCCCTTCATTTATGACTTGTGTTGAAAGAAAATTACATAAATCTGCAAATAAATGTTTGTGAAAGGTGCTTCTGTCAAGGAAAAAAAAATCATTTACATTTAAGTAAATAATAATAATAATAATAATAATAATAATAATAATAATAATAATAAAATAAAATGTGAATAAAATTATTCATTCTTCTCAAATCACTACCAAATCAAAATGCAGTTGTACTTTGACATTCAGATCTTTCTGACTTCTGACTATCCATTTTTAAAAAGTTGCAAAAAACATATAGAGATTGGTTAAAAATAATTTGCAAAACATATTTCAAAGCATTTCTTGTAACAAAGTATACAGTGAAAAAATGAATTTAAAAGTTATGTATAAATGTTTGTGTGGAGAAGTGTCATAATTTCATATTGATGAAAAACACAGACTGAAAAGGAATTTCCACAAATGAAACTGATAGATTTGTGCAACTTTCATGGGATGAGATAAATTCCAAAATGTATACTTTTGATGGTGGTCTCTAAGTTATAGGAAGATGTCCTAGAACAGTTTATCTGTCACCAGGATTGTTCTGGAGGGAACTGAAGACTTTTGGATCCCCAATGTTTAATGTGATTTTTTTTTTTTTACTCTGTCTTAACATGGTTGTATATTTTGCAAGTCTGCTGCTAATGCTAGTTTCAATTCAAATTGGGGAGTAATAGTGCAAGAAAGAGAACCATTTTGGTGTAGTGGTTAAGACACCAGTCTAGAAACTGGGAGACAGTGAGTTCTAGTCCCACCTTAGCACAAAGCCAGCTGGGTGACCTTGGGCCAGTCACTCTCTCTCAGCCCTAGGAAGAAGGCAATGGCAGACCATTTCTGAAATCTTTCCAAGAAAACTGCAGGGAAATGTCCAGGCAATCATCAGGAATCAACACTGACTTGGAGGCACCCCCCCCCCCAAAAGTGAG